CAGAAAAAATTTTTAAAATTAAAATTTTTTTAAAAAATAAAATAAGCAGGCAAATTTGCCTGCTAGACGGTTTAAGGGATAATATGATATTAAAATTGACCAAAGATTCTCTATAACCAACAATGTTGATTTGTGAAGTAATGTAAAAGACAATATAACTCAAGTTCGAGTCAAATGGCATATTTTACAGCCATTGTATAAACATATGCTTGGAAAGTTATTATAGCCGATTGGGATAAAAATTTTCATAGAAAAAAAAATTTTTTATACGTATTCAATTTTCATCCATTTAGCGGGCAAATTTGCCTGCTAAATCGGACGGTAAGGGATAATATCGATATATAGTTCAGCAGTTAGGCAATTATTTTTAGTTTTAAATTTTTTTTAAATATTACTGTATTATACAAACATAAATTTTAAAATTAAAAATAAATAAAATTATGCATTTTAAAATCTATTCTATCAAATAAAAAATTAACAGTTTTAACAAAAAAACCAATAAATTATAATCAATTTGGCACTAATCAATAACTTAATCAAGTCAATGTTTTTTTAAAATTTAACTTAATCGATTCTGGTCATATATATAATATAGGAAACGACCAAAATATTTGGAAAAATTAGACAATCAACCAATTTTGCAATAGTGGGCAACGGTATATATATATATTTTGCATACTACATAAATCGACTTTGCGTAGTCGGCTAAGCCAATTTTTAAATTTTGGCTTAATTGAGTCGACAAATTTAGGTCGACTACAAACATTGCAAACAGAATAGTAAAAAAAAAAAAATTTGGAGAAGTAGAAGCAGAACAACTGTTTAATAGTTTGTTCGCTAAATAAAGAAAATAATTTGTGAAAGTTAAATTTTTCGATATTATTAAAGCCAATAAAAAATCCTCCATAATAAATATTATATGGGCTAGGTGCTGAGAAAAGGGACCAAATTGACAAAAAAAAAGATCTTCGGAAAATCAATTTCTATGATATAAATCTTATAATAAATTATAAGAAAATGCAAACTTTAAAGAGCTATACCACAAAATTTTATTAATACAATTACTTTTGTGTCTTAAGTAAAAAATGATTCTAATCTTATTTTAAATTGATTTATGTAAAAAAATATCCTTTGAAAAAATTGTCAATTTGGTCCCTTTTCTCAGCACCTAGCCCATATGTAATCTAATTATGGTTGGATTTACTAATTTTATAAACACCCTAACCTCCTGTCAACGCCATCATTACTTTAGTTATTGCGAACCACACCACCAATTCTAGGAATATCTTTATTGAATTGTTGACGATTTGGAATCTGACCGGCACGAGAAGATTTCGTATTTTGAGAGGAATTGGGTTTCTGAACCATTTGAGATCGTAAAATTTCTATCATTCGCTTTTTATTAGTTAGTGTCTCAGTTGAAGAATCAGCATCAGCTGTTCGTTTTACTGGTGTCGATGGGGGTGCTACTACTAAATTTGATTGCGATGTACTCCAAGAATGTACGATTTTGGTGAAATGTCTAGCTTTTACGGGCTTCATCAACTCCTGATGCAAAAAGAAAATATATTAATAAATTTGTTGATAGACGAACTAACGAGTTATCTTGTTTACCTTTATCATGGTAAGTATGTTATTAGTTACTATTTGGCCACTTTCCGCTTTTTTGATTTTCTTGAATATTTAAAAAGTTTAAAATTTGAACGGAAATAACATCAATATAAACTTTAAAAAACGGTCTACATCAATTCATTGGTAAGCAACAATATTAACCTCCAATGTTTCCTGATCTTTTGACTCACGCTTTTGTAAATCCTTCAATCCTTGTTTAATACGTGAGATACATTTTATAGCAATGGCGTAAAGGTTTCGGAACCTGAAAAAGTATTAAGTTTTGTTGCATTGACTTTGACCAACTACCTATGTACATTCAATGATAACAAACCGTGAAATCATTTCCTGTCCTTCAACTATTTCTGGAATCTAAATTCGTTAATAAATATACTCAACTTAAATGGTAATTTTATAGCAAGATAGCAACCATCACATGTATAATTATATACCTTGGAAGCAATGCAATATAAAGCAAAAACAATGTATTCGACCCTCGGCAAATCCAATTTTGGCTCTACTTCAGTATCGTCTCCAGGGGGTGGTATTTCATTCTACATATAATCATATCATGGAATAAGCGCAAAGAATTTTCGGTAAAGCATAGATACATACAATAAATAACTCTTTTACTAGTGGTGCAGCATTTTTGATCGTCGCTTCATTGTGCTTTCCACTAATACACTCCGCTAAAAATCTTAGAATCATTTTCTGGTGTCGTTCCTGTAGTTTGGAATATATCTCCTTTGGCAGAATTTTGTTCGCAAGGAAGGCAAGGAATGATGTGCTCTTTACACCTTTCTATCCCATTATTTCAAATTATAATTAAAAGATTTTTATGTTTCATAAATTCATAACATTATGTTTTTTTTTTTTGTTTTACCTCAAAATATGGAATAAGAGTTTTCCCACACAATAGAAGCTTTTGCACTTTGTTATGATCTGTAGGCTACAAAACACGTGTTAGCTCTTTATTTATCAAACTATTTCTTTCGTGGAAGAATAAATCGAAAAAATTTATACGTCGAACTTTTCGTCTCCTGTAGCGATCGAGTTGATTAATACATTAACCAATTCTTTCAAATTATCTTTATTTTCAATTCGATACATTTTTAACGGTAGAAGCATTTTAATAAATATCTCGCATTCTGAAATATTAGCATCATGGAGTGCCTGTTGTGAATAAAAATAATAAATAAAATGAAGTAAAACCTTATAATTTATTAAAAGGTTAACATAAAATACATACTTTCTTCACTTCATTGGCAAAACAAGTTTCAACATCCTCCCCTTTCTCAAATAACTCTTCTTTGAAGCGGTTCAAGTCATTCGACAAAAAATTAATCGTTCGATGCCGCACTTCATGTGAACCCTTTAATGACTGTTGAAAGATCGCAACAATAGAATCACGTGGCGATAAACGAATAACTTGTTCGAGAGCTTTTTTCACAGCAGCAATTTCTTGAGCAGTCTCTTTTAAAAATGATAGATATTAATTTTGGAACGTATGTTACAAACAATCTATAAATGAGTTTATTCTCACCATTTTGAAGTAACTGCACCAGAGCATCAGCAATCCGCACCGCAACTTTGTCAGATTCTTTGACAACATTAGGTAAATATTTTATAACAGTTAATCGCACCTTTTGGCAAGTCAACAATCGTATATAGAAATTCGATCAGTCGTCTATTAAATCAAAGCCAAAAATGGGCGCTAATCATAAGGTGCGTACATTCAAGTCTGTGTCTTCACAGAGATCAAATAGGGCATCGATAGCCATCTCGTGAAATTCAGGAAATTTTCCAAAAAATCGTGGAATAAATTGGGCGGCAAGACGCTTGCAATTACTTTCTCCGTGCGCACCATTAATTATTGTCTTGTATGATTTCTTAACCTCCTTAATGTATAAGACTATTAGCTTACAGAAAACGACGATTCCTTTCAAAAATGAATTACTTACTTCGTTATAATCACCTGCTCGATCGATTATTTCATAAGCTTTATATATGTCTTCAACGTTAACACTATCCATTTTTTATTTCTCAAAGATAGCTTAAGATCTATTAATTTCTGAAAAAATTAGTAAATATAAGTTGCCTCCGCT